GGCTCCAAATTACCCGGGGCACAGCCTGCAGCCGCCGTCGGCACCCAAGGGACCCAGGAAGAGCCGCCCTGCTTGTCCGTCCCCCAGCAATCCTCTGCGGGGAGCTCAGGGTGGTGCAGGCTATGATGGGACCCCCCAGTAGTCCAGACACTGGGGTCCCTTGGTGGTGGCTACTTGCCTGGCGGCTATCGTTATCCCTGATTCAAAATCCACCAGGATGAGCCCGCTGGACCCACAGACCCCAGATCCTGCTGTGTCCCCCCACCATGTCTGGAATTAGGGTCAGCCTTGGCATAGAGGGTCTGGTGGAGGAGCAGAAACGTGGACGGACAAGCACAGCATTATCCCAGCTCCCCATGTCGGTGGCAGCGTGAGCAGCCTGGATGTGACCCCCCCTAAAAAGAGCTGGGGCTGCCACCCCAACGTGGGGTCCCTCTTTCCCAGTCCCCATCCCACGCTGGCACTGGCTGCCTTCTGCCCCCACTGCCTGCTTGCCTGCAGGGACATGATGGCCTCGGTGGCCTGTCAGGGCTGGCTCAGCCCGTGTCCCTCCCTGCTCCTCTCCTGGCTGGGAAGAGGCCACCAACAGCGGCCAGCGCCTGCTCCGCCGATGCCGCCCCTCTTTTATGAAGTGTGAAATGCTTGACCGGGCTCTTGTATGGGGCCGTCACGTGCCCCGCGGAGCTGGTTATGTCACTGCCTGGTTCCTCGTCTTCCAAACACACTCTTGCAATTAAAAAAGCCCCATTTATATGCTACAGCCAGGGCGGTCCTGCAGGCATCCCTCGCCCAGGGACCTGGCTGCAGCTTGAAGGGCTCACTGGGGTCGTGTCCACTGGCAAATGCCACTGATAAAGGTCCCCACGAGAGTCAAACTGCTTGATGTGAAGCCCTTGGGCTCAGTTTATCCCCTCCTAGTGGCTTCAAAACTGGCTCCTCTGCACACTCTCAGGGATGAATATTGCCTCTTCCTAAGTGTTTCAGTGCTTTTGCTTTTTGCAGAGGCCAAGCCAGCACTCTGATTTCTTTCCTTCTTGAGTATTTTGGGAGTCTGATTGTCCCTGTGGAGAACAGGGCTGTGCTGAGGGTGAACTCTGAGGTGGCGGGTCCTGCTTTCCTTACTGCAGATTTTTTTTACAGATGCTAAAACCGTGGGGAGAGCACACCCCCAGGGCTGAGACCCCAGAAGAGCTGAAATCAGGTTGAGGGTGCTTTGTAAAGCTCCTAGCCCCCAAAGAAATCACTGCAAAGAAGGAAGAGCACCATGGCAAGTTCCAGAAAGGCTAGAAATCAACCCAAAGTGAGCAAGGGTGCCGGCAGCGAGCGCAGGGAATGCGCCACGGCATGGCCTCTCTGGGGAGGGGGGATTTGGGGAAGGAAAATCCCGGCAGGGTTGGCCCTGATCTTTGCTGACATTCTTTCCACTGACCGATCCCTCGGCTGGAATCCGGCCTGGAGCAGGAATAGGAGGAGATGGGAGATGGTTTCTGACGTTCCCAGTGGAAAAAAAAAAATCCCTTCTGAATTAAAGACAAAGCTGGAGAGACATGGTCAAGTGGTTGGAGACAGTAGGGAAGAGCTGGGGCTGGGTTAAAAACCCACCCACACTGCTGCTTATGCAGCGTCCATGCTTGTGCCTCAGTTTCTCCATTGGGAAGGTGGGAAAAATGCATCTTTGCTGGGAGAGGGGTGCAGCAGGATGGCGTTGGGGCTTTGGTTATCCACAGGTACAGAGGCCAGTACCAGAGGCCAGCTCAGATGAGCCAGGGCCTGGGCGGGAGGGGATCCAGCCCAGCTCATCTCCTCTGATGGGGTGTGGAGACACACGGGAGAAAGTGGATTTTGTGCCGTGGGATAAGGAACTTGGCCAGGGACCTTTGGGAAGTCCAAGGTGGGAGAAAGACTGGGCCTGATGCTGTCTTACCTGCCTGCTCCTGCCTGTTTGCTCTGCTCCTGCGGGACAGGCAGAGGGACAGGCAGCAGAGCGTAGAGGCTGTCAGCAAGATGGGGGGCTGCATGGTGAGGGGAGCCCACAGCAAAAGGGCTGGATCCTGGGATGCTCCCTGCTTTGGGATGTCTCTCCCGGGGCTGGATTTGTCTGCTTCTCCATGGCTTCAGCAGCAGCAGGACCAAAAGCTTCAGCATGCACCGGCAGGATGGGGCCACGGGAAATACCGGGCGGGAGCGGGAGCGGGAAAGGCCAAGCAGCAGAGGATGCTGTGCTGGTGTCGGGTCTAATCAGAAGGAAGGCATGGATCTGGGGTGCCGTGGGATCGAGGGGAGCAGCCATGAAGGGACAAGGGTAGGCTGGCCATGAGGCCACCGTGGGCTGCCCCCAACCCAGCTGTAACTGAAGGGACCAGATGATACAGGAATGCTGGGGGGGATGGTGAGCTGGCAGCCACCCACCATCCCTGGTGGCACCCGTGGCCTCAAAGAAAGTCCTTGTTCACGGGACGGCCAAGCTGCCCTCCCTGCCGTGCAAGCTCCCCCAGCCCCCCCGGCGCAGCCATGGTCCGGGCAGCGTAATCCCCGCGGGGAGAGCACATGAAATCAGATGGACAAGTTTTGATGTGAGGCAGCAGCTTAGGGTGGGCTCAGGTTTCCTTTAGGTTTTCTATATTTATCTCCGTGATTTAATGCCAGCGCCGGGGTTTAAATGGCACCAAACAGTTGGCGTGGGGAGAGGGAGCAGCCGTCCCCGAGCCGCGCACTCGTCCCCGAGCTGCCCGTGCACCCATGGAGCTCTTCGAGACCAACCCTTATTTTTTCCCGGACCAGAGGTTTTACGATGGGGAAAATTTCCTGGGCTCCCGCCTGCAGGGCTACGAGGCAGCAGCATTCCCCGAGCGGCCCGAGGTGGCCCTATGTCCCGAGACCAGGGTGGCTTTGGAGGAGAAGGACTCAGCCCTGCCTGAGCATTGCCCTGGGCAATGCCTGCCCTGGGCCTGCAAGGTTTGCAAGCGGAAGACGGTTTCCATCGACCGGCGGCGGGCAGCCACCCTGCGGGA